TAGAAGAAAATCCAAATCATCCCCTTTTGTCAATCCTAACAGCCAGACCTTCCCAGCAGTGCACAACCTGCACAATAAATGTGCAAGGTGATGTAGCTGTATTATTTGTGGCTTCCCTGTTTGAAATCCTTAAGAGGTTTGTTCCCATATTTTGTTGTATCCAAACTGAAGTCATGTCAGCGATTTACATTTCTAAGAGCACAGATATCAACACCCTTGCAAGCTGGGACAATTAATTTCATTAAAGGTGGCAGAATAAAGGATAATCATCTCAGCTACAGCATGGCAATAACTTGGAACAAATTTTTGGATATGAGTGTAAGAAAATACCAGTTTTAATGCTTTCCCTGAAGCTTTGAATGACAATGAGATGGAGAGACTCTGAAATAGATGCATAACTTGAACTGCAAGCAGCAACTGATAAGGAAACTGGGGCAGAGGGAATGACTCAGTTGGCTGTGGTGCAGCCACAAATCCACATGGGGCTCTGGAAATGTTCATCCGTGCCAGTGATAATGCACCAACCGCAGAGATGCTTATGACAGTCAGAGAAATTTGGAGAGCAGTAATGAAAAATAACCAACGCAAGAAACCACTGGGAATTTCAGAGTCAAGGGGCACAAAGGACAACGTTTTGAAAATAAAAGGAAGAAAAGGGACTGAGAGGATCTTTGATCTAAAGGCTTCTTCCTGCAGGTTTTATCTCTCCAGACACAAAAATACAAGGCTTATATCCATTCCCTTAAGAACTGAACAGCACGTCAAAGAGGAAAGAAAGGGAGAGAAACCTTCCAAGATAACATTTAATCATCATAAAAATGCATGCATAAATGTGAGAAAGAGAAAAAAATCCATGTATCTTAAAAAACAATATGTAAAAGAATCTAAGCAAATAGGAGAAAAATTGCAGTAATGTGTGCAGTGACTTGGACAGAATAGGATAGATAAATATATACTGCCAGCTGATTTTCTTTTGTAAGATAACTACTTTGTATTTATTTTTTCAACTAACTGGCCTCTAATCCTGACAGATGACAAATCAATTCTTGCTTGTCCTGTTTTGGGGCTTCATTGAAGTATCTTCCATTCTCTTTTCTTTTCAATGGCTTTTTCCAGTGTATTTGCTGTATACATAAACAGATCTTTAGGGACCCATTATAGAAAGCAGCATTGAAACTAACTTCATCCTTGCATCTCATTTCACAGTTCTAGTGGCAATCACGTATTGCTCCCTACAGGGAAGGGGTGACTCTTAAACCGTGTTTAAGACCTTACTCAGAAAATCAGAAACCCTAACTCTGTTCCATTGCATCTCTATCAGGGGCAGCAAAGATGGAGTCTGATACCGTACCTGTCCCTTAGCTGATTTGGCACCACCACACAAACCAAATACGTTAGGTGTCAGGAACTCCTATGCAAACACGAGAAATGGAGAAGTGTTGTGGGTCCTTCAAACTCCAGAAACCACACTCCTGCTCTGGGATCAGCCTAGAGGATTGTATTTCTTCACCAGCTACGCAAGTACCCTAACACTGCTCTACCATCATGGAAATTCAGGCTTGTCTTTGCCTGTTTTGCCTTAGGTTTTGGCAGCTATCACATGTGCAAGTATCTCAGCTCTGCTTAAACTGAGAGAGGCTTGAGGGTGTGGCTGGAGCGCTTGGGCTGGGGGTTACTGAGTGGGGCACTCCATGGGCCATTAGCCCCTGAGGCCTCTCTGGTGACCCCCAACCAAAGCCTTCCCCTATGTGTTGTGTCCCCCACACATCACACTTGCTACTGGCCTGTACATGAGGATATGGTAACTGAGATTTAGCTCTGGAGATCCCCACATGTGCTAAAACTCCCAAAAAACATAGACTGGATCAAGGTGGGTGAGCTGAGCAAGCTCTTCTGTGTGTTCTGGCATCCTGAGAGCAAATACAGAGAGCTGCAGGACTTTCCTTCAGAGCAGAATTTAACCAAAACCCTGCAATGTACATCCCTCCTGATCCGTGTGCTGAATGAAGGGAGCTGTGGGCCCTCCCATTCCCTTAGCAGGGAGCAGCAGTGGGTGGGCCAGCATATACCATGGATATACATATGTGTTTATTTATGCATATATTATCACTAGCCCAAATTCAACCTTGAAAAAATTCAGCTGACTCCGTGTCTTCTGCCTAATAGCAAGTGAATGACTGTGGAGCTGGGTTATTTCAGGGCACTGAGGATTTCCCATCTTCAAGAGGTGGTGACCTCACAGCACCTCTGGCTCTGTCCTGTCCTTGCCTTCTCTTCAAAAGCCACACGCAGAGATTCAGAGACACAAAACCTTGACTACATTTTCAGCACTATTTAGGTGAGTAATGCTGCGGGCAGGTACCTAGTGGGGTGTGCAGGAGCAATCCTTCAGTGTTCATTCGTCCACCCACTTGGCTCTCATGGTCACCAAAGGCATGTGCCAGGGCTCTGGGACACTCATAGGCTGTAACAACCCTGAGCAGCCCCACCAGCCCTGAGAACCCACCTGAACTATACTCCTCTGCCACCTGGCTCGACCTGCTGCACGCCCAGGTTGCAAACACATTGAAAAAACAATAGAGCTGAGGAGAAAAAGATGGTCAAAAGCTGTAGGGTGACCCTGCCAGACATCACCTCTCTGTACCTGGTGCTTTTCAAAGGGCAGAGCTCCCTTTGTTCCAGGTCTCATATATTTTATTTCTAGGCAGGCAGCATCTCCTTGGTCACCCTTGACCTAGGTCTGCTTCTCTGACTTGGGTGTTGTGCACAACCTAATGGAAGCATTTATGATGAAATCCCTTCCTTTGGGACAGGTCTAATTTTTTTTTTTATCTCCCATTAACATCATTTATGCACTTACTAAGATTAAAAGGCAAAATCAAGTGCTCCTCTGCTCCTGTATCAAGACAGCTTTAGGTCTTAATGTCTCAGGGACTTGGAAGTAATATAAAATCTGCTTGGCAAAAGGCAGGATTTGCTATCTGATTTGAGTGGGAAGAAAAAAGATTTCACACCGGTCTGGGGAGGGGCCAGTGGGGCGGGTTCACCTTCCCGGCTGGCCTCCAAATCTAAGTATGCAAATCCCTGATTTCTCTGACCAGACTGCATATTTTAAAAGCTTTGGGTGGCTTTTTTCTTCAATTGGTTTAAGAGCTTGACTAACGTGTAAGGTACAATGCAAAGCAGCTCTGTGTTACACACGGAGTTATCTCGCCACTGTTTCCACGGGCTAAAATGAAAGAAAATAACACAGCTGATTACAGGCTTGAGCTACATGCTTAGCAGGTTTACATGCCTGGGAGCAGCTTGGGATCTATCTCTGTACTTTACAAGTGCCGTTGTTTTGCTTTGTGTTTTGCAATAGATATAAAGCAGAAGCCATTCTGGAGACCTCTCTGCTAGGAAGGTTTTTCTTGGCTATTATTAGCACTCTGCTTTTGCAGCAAATGCTCATGAGCCAATATGCAGAGTTTTAGAGGACTTCAAAGTGTCATTGGGAACCAAGTGATATGTGTGTTAAAAAGGGTTTAATGGAGCTGCAGTCGCTGTAGCAGTGTCTTTTTATAGCAAGTTTTTACAGCGTTAAGAAAAACATCCTGCAGATTTCAGTAGGATTGGCATATGGATAAGGTACTTTGCACTATGATTTTTGTTTATCTGCTCTTAAAAAAAATATAAAGAAAACCAGCATTGCTAGCTATAGGGAGAATGATAAGCAGAAACAGTTTTGCAAAACTCAGGCAACAGCTATCACCTTCATTTTGGGTTTAATTATTTTTATATTTTTCAAAAGAAAGCATACATTTGAAAGCAAATGGCTTGGCTTAAGGAATGGAAATACAGAGTGATTTGTATTCACATTGAAGATTTTGTGGTCTTTTTTTTTTTTTTTTCCCCCAGAGCCAGTGGATTATATCATCATTAGCACAAGGCAAATCCTTCTCATCAAAGTTGAGGCAAATTTTCTGGGACTATCTTTAAAAAGTCATAGTGGAGGCTCCCAAGGAAGGAAGTGGTTTGCAAAAAACACATTAAATACTGAAGCAGATCTGATCCATGTGTGATCATGTTGGTCTGCAGGAATTGGCTGGAAATTGCTGGTTTTGATACCTTCTCTAGTTTTTCTTTTTAAAACACTATTTGTAAGTCTCTTTTAATTATTCCTGGGAAGAATGTAGGGATACTTTATGAGACAGACTGCTCATTGTCCTTTAGCAACCCATGTCATTGGCCTGCCCACTTCTGAAAGAGACAGACAAGGAATCAAAAGGAAAGACAAGTACCCATTGCCCACTGTGAGGGGAAGAGGTTTGCCCAGGTTTATACAAAAAGGCAGAGGCAGACCAAGGACACAGCATTGTCCCTCCAGTGCCTCAGTCCTAAACTGCCTCTTTAAAGCCATCCTTGCATCCACAGAGTCTGGGATATAGCTGTTCGGACTTGTTCCACCTCGGAATTCACATAATTTAAATGTGTTTTACTCTGCTTTTGCTTCAGGCTGGGGAATGACTGGTTTATGCCTTGTCTGAGGGATTAAAAAAATAGAGCCGGGGAAACCTTTAGTTGTTGTGATTGCCAAAGCAGGAGCAGCACAGGATTTCTCAAGGCTCTCGGGCAGCTGGAGGCTGCAAGCGAGTGTGCTCAAAGCTGATGGGAGCAGGGGTTCAGCTCCCAGTGCTACCCTCACTCTGGCAGCTGTCTCTCATCCCTGTGCCTCAGTCCCAGCAGAACTAAAGCCCTGGCAAAACCCAGCATGGCAGCCCCGTCGCTCCCAGCCCTGCAGCTCCGTCTTGAGCAGCTTCTTTCATTTTTCACACTCAGTCCTCCCGAACGGAAACCTTGGTCAGAAATTTCACAGATGCAGCCAGAGAGATACTTTCTTTCTTTCTTTTCTGCGGAGGAGGGCACAGAAGTGACGGCACAGGGGGAAGGGTTTGTAGAGTTGGTTTTTTTTCTTTTTCCCTTTTTGCAACACTAGTTGTTCAGGGGAGTGTCTTGTGTTATTAATGCTGAGTGGCTCTGGCAACTCCTGTGGTTCAAGGTCGTTAGTCATCCGCTGCCGCTGCAGGAGACACCGGAGCGCTGAGCCAGAGCTCTTCATCCAACCCTCTTGGTCCTCCCAGGCCAGCAGGTTGGGAAGAGCTGCACATGGGGCAGCGGGGTCCTGTGGGGGTGTGGAGAGCAGCCTGGGGCCAGGGCTACAGGGGCGTCCTCGCAGCGTGCCCAGGCCTGTGGGACCTGCTGGGTTTAGTGGGTGGCAGGGCCTGAGAGGGGCTGAGGGGTCGGGAGAGCACCTGCAATGTGAGTGTGGGATCCTCCATGCACCCCAGGAAAGGGCGGACATCTCTGTCCCCGCCTGGGAATCTCCCTGTGTTACTTACAGCTGCACAGGCACACCAGTCTCCTTCTCCTCAAGCTGCACCGATGCAAGACACTCCCTGAGAGTTAAGGAAATACAGGTCCACTTGCACCCTTCCTGCCTGATTTCTTCCTTTTTTACTTCCTTAGGATGAAGGAGTCTAGGCAAACATTCCTTAATTTATTCTGCATCCTCTGGCTCTTTCTGCTGCTGAAGACTGCCTCTTCCTCCCCTCTACCCCGTGGAAAAGACCCACGAGCCCCTTCGCTCCCCTTTGGGCTGTACGAAGGACACACCTGTGTTGGTATGTATCCAGGTTTTGTTTGCCTGCTGGACTAATTCATTCCTTACTTCACTGGTGAGCTGAGAGTTGCTATTCACATCATAAATCGCTCCTTTATCTATTTCAACAGCTGTACTGCAAAATACTTGTAGTATTTGCTGAATCAGTCACTGAAGATTTTGCAAGGCCGTCATGGGATCTGGAATTATCTTATGATTTTGTTTTTGACTGGCTGCTTCCCAAAGTTCATGTTTTCGCTCTGTGGGAAATGGCATCTGAAAAGCTGACTTTAATGTCTGCAGGTCTGGGATCTGGAAATGGGATATTATGAGGTCCTAGTGTTTCTTAGGATTCGTGATGCATTTTGCTTAAGTGGCAGGAAGGCACAGTTCCCTTCAGATTTTCCCAGGGTCTCCTCATTGATTTCAGTTCCTGGAAAACTGTTCTTAAGAGTGGTTGGTCCATTCCTGGGCCAGAGGTCTTTGTGGTCTGAATAGCCATCTCAGGATAGCTGGGGTGCAAAGGCTGCCTCTTCACATTTCCTTTCCTTTTGGTGTGCACACGTCTGCATGACCCATACTGAACTTGGGTGAGTTTGCAACCCCCTTTTCACGTGACTTCAGTGACTGTGGTGATCCCCCACAGTACCTATATGTGGGGGTAGGTATCCTACAGTCTCAGGTGGCTAAGTGATTCCCAGAGCAAGACTGGTAACACTGGAGTCAGTGTAAACTGTGGATATCTCTGCACCAGAAATGCCCTTGGCACGGCACTCTATATACCTAGGGAGATGTGGTAGCTTTTATGTGTGCAAATGGATATGTCTTATGCATTACAATCAAATGCTGTACTTTGTCATCAGCAGGACTTGTTGATCTTACAGGCTTTTTTCAGCCTAAAAGTTTCTATGATTCTTTTAGCTTCCCAAGGCACCTTTGTGCTGGAAACATAAACTCTGTCACAGCTTTCCATCCTTCAGAAGGAAATAATTCTTTCCACCGTGGCTTGGGGAATACAGTTAGAAATAATAATCCTAAACTTGATAAAAGCAGGTTTTTGCTTCACTTCTAAGCCACCCACAGTACCCCTGACACTTTTGGTAGGGCAGGGTGAATCAAAAGGAGAGCAGAGTCAGGGTGGTTGAGGGGGCTCAGCCACCAACCAGAACATGAGAAAAAGAGGTGAAAAGCAGAAATGGCTGTGAGGGGCTGTCCTTGTTTGGGCTGGGAACCAAGCAAGTGGTGACCGAGCAGCTGCCAGAGCTAGGGGGAAGTGGTGTTTTTTAGTGGTGAGATCTTAAGGCAGCTACAGTTTTGATGGCACGGGAAAGGCTGTGACCATGCTCATCTGTTGGAATTTTACACTGGTGGCTTTTAGATATCAGGTTGTGAACATTGTCTGCCCTTTCCATCCTGTTGACATGGAAAAGTTCTAAATTCCACACATTGCACTGAGGTTGCCTTATGCAAGATAACATGTCCTTTTTTTCCCTCCTAAAGGGAGGAGAGTTGTGCTAGCCCCATTGCTGGGACCTCTGTGCATCTCTTTGTTCAGGGAGGACATATGAAAAGCACTGCCTCCCACAACTAGTTTATCTTTCTGAAGTGTCCTTTCAGCTAAAAACATCCTTGTGAGCTCGACTCAGGACCTAAACAGACTGTGCCCACCTCTGTAAACCACAAGATAAAAATGAAGTGTGGCTAGTGCCAAAAGGGCATGAGCCAGCCTGGCAGGGAGGGCTGGTGGCTGCTAGCCCAGATGGCTGCCTCTGGGCTTTCACTGATTAGCTGTCCATTTGACTAACTCTGGAAAATACTGTGTCCCTTCCTTTTTTCAGGCAGAAGGGGAAAGCACAGAGGAATTGATGGTTGCACTTGCCATGGCTTGGAGCAGGAGTAATGTCAGCTCTTGCATCTGATTCCATCTGACCAGCCCTCTTAGGAGCAGATAGTAAGGCAGGATCAGCTTGTGATTTCTTTCCAACAACTTGACCCCAGATAGTTAGTTGGCTTAGTTTGCCACCTGGGAAGGTAATGAGAAAGAGATATGAGTGATATAGATCAAGGCCAAGATGATTTCATAGAATCAGAGAGAATGATAGAATTGTTTGGGTTGGAGGGCACCTTAAAGGTCCTGTAGTTCCATGGCCCTGACATGGGCAGGGAAGCTTCCACTTGATCACCTTGCTCAGAGTCCCCTCCAACCAGGCCTTGAATAGTGGCAGGGATGGGGCATCCACAGCTTTTTTGGGTGACCTGTTCCTTCTCACTGTCACCATGAAGAATTTCTTCCTTATATCTTATCTAATTTTTTTAATGTGAGAAATTCCTATTGCTAAACACATAGATTTCCTTGAAGCATTTTTTTTCATGCAAGTGTAAATGTGTGGTCAGGTGTCTAATCTTTCAAAGTTATCTTCCTCCATTTTCTGAGATAAATGAGGTGGCTACACATTGAATTTCTGATCACTCCTGTGTACCACCTGCTTGATTGAGATTGCTATGTCAGTAGCCAAAGCCAGTCAGAAAGTGCATGCTCTTTCACTAACAAAACCAAGAAAATATCTCCCATTAAGCATTTCCACTGAGAGTATCACACTTCTTGAAGAAGTATGTGGAAATAATATGACAGGAGAGCAAAGTGCAGCTCTGGTACCTCTGTTAAATGTGATACAACTTGCTTGCTTCCTCCTTCTGTTCCCCTTGCTTGCAGCACTCCCTGGGTAGGCATCACCATCTGCCCCAGTATATTCCAGTCCTATTGGCAAAGCATTTGGGTAATTCAAGGGGCTTCCCTGCCCTTAGCAGATCCTGGGAAATGTATTTTGGGTAGGCACCTATGTGCCAATATGGAACAGGGCTGTGCCTCCAGTGAGGTTTAGACAGCAAAAATCACACAAAAAGTGACACATCAAAAATGATGTGACTCTCTGCAGGTAGCAAAGGTTTCAATCACCTTTGCTAACTGTAGAAAGAGTCACATCATTTTTTCTGCATTTTCCTAAAAAATGTGTCTGCTTCATTTACAGAAAGGCTTTTCATAATTGATTTGACATACAAACAAAACTGGAGGGTTCCCACCTAAAAAGGGGTTTAATCCTGCTGCATTTTAGAGTTACAGCAAAGAGAGGAAAAGAATACGACAATAACCCTCCCAACCACAGGATCAGATGTAGTATACCTAAGCAATTCCTAACCATCTAAGATAACTGGTCTGTAGCAGTAACTGACCACAACCAGATAAATGGCCTTTCTTTGGCCTTGTCATGAGAAAAACTTTCCCAGCACCTGACAGTCTTTTTTCTCCATCAGTATTTCCTGTCTCCTCAGGCTGCTAAAATGTCACCATTTTTGCATTCTGTGAAATCAGCTCAGGCCCTTCCTCTGTGCCTTCTGCACACTTTGCATGTGATATGTTTTTCTGGTTTTTCCTTATGAGAGGAAAAAGGGCTTTTCTAAGTTTTCCTACATGCAGAAGCCTGTGAAGCTGTTTTCCTCCTGCAAAGGCAGTGAGGTTCTGTTCTGTGCACGGGTTTGTTAGCTACATGCTGAGTCTGGCTTTCCTTTCTGGGTTTGTTACTGATGGACAGCATGGCTTAAGGGATTTATTTGGGATGAGACCTAAAAATCCTTTTGCTGAGTGCAGCCTGACTGTTTCAGTGTGGCATCCTGAGAAAGAGATGATGTGTACCTTTTTCTCTCAAAAAATTATGCATGAATGAACCTTTCATATACTCAGGTCTTTATTTTCCCATCTTCCAAATGAGGAAAGTGCTGCCCATTTCAAAAGGCAAGCAAAGTTTTGCTTAATGTTAAGATACAAAAGACAGTACAGTAACACTGGTAAACTGTTGAGACTGGTGTTAAGGTTTCATCATTTTTCTACTGATTTTTAAAGCTTTTATTCAATTCCACCCTTATTTACCACAGAGCCCTTAAAGGTTTTTGCAAATTGTTCTGCTCTCTAGCAAAGGTGACTTCATCCAACGGTACCTGAAGCAACCTCAGGAAAGGCAGAAGCTGCCCTGAAGGATGCAGAAAGTGGGGGAGACACTAAAAAACAGATGGGAACGTCTGTATTCATCTCTCTTCAACATAGTAAGAAAGGGAATTTGGGGAATGGTAGATTACTCAGTTAAACACCAAATCCTCGAAAAATCCTGCAATAGTTAGTAAAACTTTTTAAAAACACCTTTCAAAAGTAGTGTCAGATCAATCTCATTTTCTTTGCCAATGGGATAATGCCATGTAGACATGGAATAAAAAGCAGATATTATGGCAGGGCTTTAGTAAGGCTTTTGGCACTACCTCAGCACTAATCTTAAGCTTGAGAGATGTGTGACAGTGATTAAGCTTCTACAGGGCAGAACAAAACCGATGGGTAGTCTTGTTCAGAGAGTAATTACAAGTAGCTCACTCCCTAAGCGAAAGTATGTACAAAATCAGGTCTTTCTTGGACTTCTCTTTTGAACATACTATCATTCTATATTTTCACTAGCCAGGAAAACTAGCTATTAAATTAAATTAAATTAGTTCATGTATAGCTAAAATTGTTTGCAAGTAAAATTGAGGGCAGAATTAAATTCAAAACAAGCTTGACAACTTGGAGTACTTGCATCTGAAAAGGTAATTTCAATATGGGAATGTTGAAGGCACTCACTTCAGCAGGAATAGTCAATGACACACACAGCAGATGAGGAACAACCGGCTGGGTAGCATCCCTAAGGAAGATCATCTGGGCTTGTAGTGGCACAATGATGGCATGCTGTCACGAAGCACGCACACGCGGCATGCACCGAGACGTGCGAACAGAAGTCAGCTTGCAAGACATGTGAAGTAACCTGTTACCTTCCTCAGCACTGACAAAGCCCCAGAGGAATTTCTGCCTTCCCTTTTGGGGCTGTGCATCAAGAGTGATGCAGAATGACAGGAGGTTTCAGAGAAAAACAAGCATAAGCTATAAAAGAAGAGTGAATAAATTAGAGTTAATTAGTCTAGAGAAGAAAAACTTGAGAAAAGACA